GAATATTTTAACCACACTATGTTAACCACAAAATGTGTACGCATATTTGATAATGTTTAATCCTCAATGTTATAGATGTATGGAACCAGTATAGTGCAAAATGTGTCATTGTACCCAGTATCTCAGTAAAAGGCTTGCTGAGTAGAACTATGTGCATGGAACAGGAAGTGTATGCTGAGAAACTGAGGCCTAAACCATGTTTCTAATGAGATGACAGATGATGTCCTGGGGTATTTCCTCCCAGATCTGGACCAGGGCATCACTGAGCTCCTGGACAGTTTGAGGTGCAACCTGGCGGTGTCGGATGGACCGAAACAATGTCCCAGAGGTGTTCTATTGGATTTAGGTCAGGCGAGCATGGGGGGGCCATTCAATGGTATCAATTCCTTCATCCTCCATGAACTGTCTGCATACTCCCGCCACATGAGACCGGGCATTGTCGTGCACCAAGAGGAACCCAGAACCCACTGCACCAGCGTAGGTTCTGACAATGGGTCCAAGGATTTCATCCCGATACCTAATGGCAGTCAGGGTGCCATTGTCTAGCCTATAGAGGTCTGTGCGTCCCTCCATGGACATGCCTCCCCAGACCATCACTGACCCACCACCAAACCGGTCATGCTGAACGATGTTACAGGCAGCATAACGTTCTCCATGGCTTCTCCAGACCCTTTCACATCTGTCACGTGCTCAGGGTGAACCTGAGTATTGATGTGCCATCCTGGAGGAGTTGGACTGCCTGTGCAACCTCTGTAGGGTCCAGGTATCGCCTCATACCAGTAGTGACACTGACCCTAGCCATATGCAAAACTAGTGAAAAACAGTCAGAAAAGAGGAGTAGGGGAAAAAAATGTCAGTGGCCTCCACCTGCAAAGCCTTTCCTGTTTTGGGGGTCGTCTCATTGTTGCCCATCTAGTGCACCTGTTGTTAATTTCATTAACACCAAAGCAGCTGAAACTGATTAACAACCCCCTCTGATACTTAACTGACCAGATCAATATCCCAGGAGTTTAAGTGACTTGATGCTATACTCTGATTAAAAAGTGTTCCTTTAATTTTTTTTGAGCAGTGTATAAATCAAAGACACCTCTCACTCCAACCATGGTCTGTTTACTCCTATACCATCTGGGAAATGCTACAGGAGTCTTCGCTGTCGCACTAGCATCAGCTGTTTGCCATGTGAATTATGAAATAAGGTGCTGAAGTGTACACCCCTATTCTGACCCATGTTAAAAAAAAACTGTACTGTACAATATTAATGCTGTTTGCACTCAAATACTATCTGTACCTTGTCATTTGCACTACCGTGATAATTTGCCTCCTTAATAATAATAATAAATAATTTTTATTTATAAAGCACTTTACATTTTAAAGAAAATCTCAAAGTGCTACAGAAAAGCGTCATAACATACAGCAATTAAAACCAGCTGCCAACTGAGATTAGCACAGAAATTTAAACTCTAAATATTAAAACACTTTTTAAAAAGGTACGTTTTTAGACCCCTTTAAAAACCAGTCATTTGTGGAGCCCTCAGATGTTCAGGGAGGGCATTCCACAGGCGAGGAGCAGTGGCACAAAAGGCTCGATCCTCAATGGTGCGGGTCTTAGTCCTAGGGGGGAGGAGACGATGAGTGCTTGTAGAGTGGAGGGGACATGCTGAAATCTGTGGGGTGAGGAGTTCTTTAAGGTAAGTGGGGGCATTGCCATAGATGCATTGATGTGTGAGGAGGGAGACCTTGTCTTCAATCCGGGCAGAAATGGGAAGCCAGTGTAATGATTGAAGAATTGGTGTGATATGTTCGTATTTACGCACCCTCATCAGGATCCTAGCGGCACTATTCTGTATGTGCTGGAGTTCCTGGATGCTCTTGCTAGGGATCCCGATGAGAAGAGAGTTGCAGTAGTCCAGTCTGGAGGAGACAAAGGCGTGGACAAGTTTCTCAGCATCATGTAGTGTGAGTGTAGGACGAAGTCTGGCTATATTCCTGAGGTGATGAAATGATGTTTTGCAAAGATGTTTAATGTGAGCCTCAAAGGTTAAATGAGGGTCAAACCTAACACCAAAATTTGTAACTAATGGTAATAGGGGGATGTCCTGGCCAGAGAATGTAATGCAAGTTATGGTAGATGTTCTGATCTGATGAGGGGAACCAATGAGGATGGCTTCTGTTTTTGAGCTGTTCAGCTGGAGAAAGTTATGATTCATCCATGCCCTTATCTCCTCCAGACAGGCAGTGAGTGTAGTTAAAGTTGATGTCTATGACGAGTGAGCATCATTTTTCCATATAGAGTTGTGTATCAGCGTAACAATGGAAAGAAAATTCCCAAGTGACTGATAACTTTGCCAAGGGGGAGCGTGTAAAGAATGAATAAAATAGGTCCAAGAACTGATCCCTGTGGAACTCCGCGTCTAACAGCATGTGAACGGGACCTTGAGCTTCCCATGGCCACAAATTCAGATCTGTCTATAAGGTATGACTCAAACCAACGCAAGACGGTGTTATTAAGTCCAACGGAGAGGTGTAGCCTGTTGAGAAGTATACCATGATCAACGGTGTCGAATGCTGCAGAAAGATCCTTGCACATTATTGATTCATTACTACGTGTACCTCCTATATTTGCACTGAGCTGGCCTCTACTTTCTCTATCTCTGGGGTGTATGGGGTGGATCGGGTTGTTGTGAGACTCCCAGCCTTAATTTTTGTCTGGCCCTGCTTAGATGAATTAGGTGTGTTGAAACATTGGAGGGTAGGATAATCCTATCTTCAAGCCTCATGCCACAATGTAGAATAAATAATACGGTAACTAGTGGCATCTAAACTGCATTCATGTGGAGCCACAGTAATGAAGCTCTAAAACACCAGATTCAACTGATGGAAGGGTTTATATTTAGATGATATATTTAGTTTCAGGTGTATTACTGAAAGAATAATGCTAATTCCATCAGTTCTGTGGTCCTCCAGGAATGGATGCAGCACATGCAACAACCCGAAAGTAAGAATAAGTATAATCATTTAAATTTTCTCCTTTATTCATCTTGAGATTTTTCCATATTAGGCTAAAACAAAAAATATTTTGACTAGACATTCATTATGTGGAACAATCAGCACACATCTGCAAATAAGCACACAGAATGTAAAACATGGAAGGAAAAGTTGTCAGTACTGAGCTTTAACTTTGGCAACTGTTTTTTGTATATACAGTGTTGTAACAACATATGTAGCATATATAACAAATTTCATAGCCATAATACAAGGTACAGTGGACTGCAGAATTATTGGCAATACATGTTTTTGCAATACATGCAAACGCATGCAATTTTTTTTCCTACTGGTTACAACTGATATTTTGTGCTGTCTGTCTGGGGGAGAATGAAAGCATTTCTGCCTAGAATGTCTAACAAGGTTACAAAAACCTGGAATCTATTTGTTGTCAAAAATGCTGATAGGGTGCATGACCAAAGAGTTTCATTTTGGTCTCATCTGACCGCTAGTGATGTTCTAAAGATGCTTGGTGAAGTTTAGACACTGCATTCAAAAGTAATTGGACAAACTAACAACCTTAAATATTATAAATAATAATAATAATAATAATAATTTTTTTTTTTAATACTTGGATGCAAATCCTTTGCAGTCAGTGACTGGAATCTGGAACCCATGGACATCACCAAATGCTGAGTGTCCTCCCTTGAGATACTTTTCCAGGCCTTTACTGCAGCGGTCTTCAATTGCTGCTTGTAGGTCTTTCTGCCTTCAGTTTTGTCTTCAGTAAGTGAAAAGCTCAATTGGGTTGAGGTCATCGGACATTTAAGAACATTTGATTTCTTTGCCTTAAGAATCCCTTGGGTTGCTTTCACGGTGTGTTTTGGCTCATTATCCATCTGTACTCTGAAGCGCCGTCCTATAGGTTTTGCAGCATTCGACTGAATGTGAGCTGAAAGTATAGCTCTAAATGCTTCAGAATTCATGCTGCTACTTCTGTCAGCAGTCACATCATCAATAAACACCAGCGACCCAGTTCCATTGGCAGCCATATATTCCCACACTTCCGCCACATTAGACAGATGTTGTGGTATGCTTTGGAACATGAGCCCTTCCTTTCCTTCTCCATACTCTTCTCTTCCCATCATTCTGGTACAAGTTAATCTTGTTTTTATTCAACAAGGAAAGAATTCTGCGATCATCCACTTTAGTTGTTTTCCAAAGTCTTCCAGGCTTTTTGGTGTTGCTGAGCTCGTCAGTGCATTCCTTCTTTTTAAGAATGTACCTAATTGTTGATTTGGCCACTCTTAAAAGTTTTTGCTATCTCTGATAGGTCTGTTTTGTTTTTCAGCCTAATGGCCTCCTTCACTTGCATCTTTGGCCGCATAATGAGAGTTCCCATGAACAGCTACCAAATACAAATTGGAATCAACTCCAGATCTTTTATCTCAAGTTGTCATGAAATAATGAGGAAAAGGACATATCTGGCCAAGAAACTGCTCATCAGTCAATTGTTCAATTACTTTTGAGTCTGTGAAAATGGAGGGACACTAAAAATAAAAAAAAAGATGTAATTCCTAAACAGTTAATGCAATATTTTTGTTAAACCCCTTGAATTAAAGCTGAAAATCTACACCTCCATCACATCTTGTTTGCTTCATTTCAAGTCCAATGTGGTGGTGTATAGAGGCAAAATTATGAAAATTGTGTCCAACTGTGCGTGCGTGTGTAATATATATATATATATTCTTTTTCTTTTCCCTAAGAACGACTGTTTGATTTATTGAAAAACCTTTAGGGGCGTCCATTTTGGCATAGTATTATATCTCAAAAATGTATGATCTACTTTTGGCTGCTCCCATTAGGGGTCGCCACAGTGGATCATTGAACCGCATATTTGATTTGGCACAGTTTTATGCCGTATGCCTTTCCTGACAAAACACTCCCCAATTTTAACCGGGCTTCGGACCAGCATTAGGAGTGCATCTGCCTTGTGCAACTGCAGGGGCTGGAGTTGGTTCCCTGGTCAGGAATTGAGCCCAGGCCGTAGTGGTGAGAGCGCTGTGGCCTAACCACTAGTCCTCCAAGGACCCCATATATCAAAAATTTATATTATTTATAAAAGTCGCTCTAATGAGAAAACCACGAAAGAGTGGACAATGTATGAAATAAACATTACACAAAATAATTCAATTTTGCTCATTTTTTTTTTATGAAGCATGCCAATAATTAGAATATGAAATATTTTAAATGTAAACTCTATAGCTCTCAGTTAGTATAAATCTTCATTTCAAAACCTCACATAATATTTATATACTTGTCCATATATGTAAAATGAACAAAAATATTAACATAAACCCACAACCTTGTACAAGTCAAATGAGGTCAGTACAAATGTATTGAGACCAAACAGTTGGACTAATTAAGGACATAATGGAACAGTCATTTGGTTAAAAACTGAAACAACTGCATAACCAGCATAACAAGCTGTGGAGCCATGATCACCATAATAATTAAAACACCCTTTAACACAGAATGACCTGCTTTAACACCCTCATATGTCCAGTAGTGTCATGTCTATTTATGATAGTGAGTGTCATTTGTTTTAATGATTACCAACCGTGCTAGACTTTGCAGGACTGGGACTGGGGAACCCTGCTGTGTGTCCTTTTCTTTTAAAATACTTCTATACATGTCCAGTGCTTTTGCTACACACCTTTTAGTAAAGAATCTTAAGTCCATTATATTGTAATTTTAACATCACTTCTTGTTTAAATATTTAAAATAGGAAAATTCAGTAGTTCCATAACAAGTAGCCCTTCAGGAAACACACACAAAATGGAAATCAAAATGGTCCTCAAGGTTTTTTATCCTTCTTCTTCTTGGTTGTTTTGGCCCTTGTTGTGGTCATTCTCACAACGTTTGTTCGAGGTCGGACCACTACACGTCCATTTGTGCCACAGTAGAGTGTGTATTGCTCTGGGCTGAGAGACTGTCCATGTTCGTCCCTCAGCTGCCTCAGCACGACATGAGAGAGTGTCTTGAAACACTCTGCTGTAGCTGACAGAGCCTTGGTGGTGCATGTTCTCTCACGCAGAAGGCCATCACGCTGAGCAACAAGGCCCTCCACCTCAGCCTGCAGGCCCAATATGGCATGCAGCTTCCTTCTTCTGCAGTTTTGTGCAGCTAATTTGTTTTTTCCACGTCTGCGCACGTCCCGCAAGAGCGTAACCTCTGATGTGGATAGGCTCCGCCCTTCCAGCAGCTCCAGGAAGTCTTCTACTGGCATGTTAACAATTTCAGGGGCGGAAAATGGAAGACCCAGAGCCTGCAGACGCTGTTCATCCCGGCTTGGCTCCTCCAGTCCAGTTTCATCCTCACTCATTACTTCCTGTTTTATAGCTTTAGGAGATCGGGTCTCGCTTTGTGGGTCATGGTCTTCTGGTGACCAGGCTGAATAGTTGTGGTCATGCCAGATGTTCTTGGTAAGGCTTACTTGTGGCCAATCATAGCATGATGATGCACAGGCTCCGGCATTATTCGAAAGGGACTCTACTTCACTGCTGCAGCCCATTGCTCCACCCTCGCAAAAGGAATCTGAAGATGATGTAGAAGCTGAGGCAGGGCTTCTGGAATTGGTCTCCAATGACAGGCCAGAGTCAGAGTCCAAGTTCTCTAGCCAGGGAGCATCAAAGCTGCCATCCATTCCATTTATTACTTGCCCCTCCACACTAGCCAGGCCCTCCAGACCCAACAAATTTATCTGCTCAAACACAGCCTCATCCAAATAACCACCCACCCTGGATTGGGAGGTTCCATGAGAGCTGTTCCCTAATGAGGAGAAAGGAGGGAAAGCCAGAGCACCAAAAGCTGTTCTAGGTGTGTGTCTGTTGGATGCATTAATAGACTCTAGGTTGAAGAGAGAAGGTGTTTGGTGTGGTGTGGCATGTGTTCCACCTCTAGGTGGGTCTGGTCTGTAATCCCCACCACTGCTAACCATGGCATCTTGAAGGCTGGCATTGTAGCTGATAGGGTCCATGTCAGGCACATGCTGCGCAATCAAAGTCTCAAAATCCTGTGGAAGGTGGGGGGCAGGTATCAATAACAGGTAACAATAGCCAGCATAATAAATTGCAATTACAGTAAAAGCTAAAAGACTTAAATGCTACTTTGCTGCTTTGCTAGTAATTCAGTGCCTGCACACTGCCTCTGGAAGGTGTGCTCAAAAATGGGGAAGGTGTCCTCAAAAATGGGGAAGAAAAAAAAAAAAAAAGTTCACACAAGAAGAAACACCAATTTTTCCAGTAATTTTGTTTTTTCAATCCCTTCTTTTTACTGAAATTACTGGGAACATAGGTGAATATACATTCACCAGTCACTTTAGAGAACAACTCTAAACCTGTTAATTCGCACACTTATCCAAACCAAGCAATCATATGGGAACAGCACAATGCATAAAATCATGCAGATACAGGTCAAGAACTTCAGTTACTGTTCACATCAAATATTATGACTTCGACCATGGCATAGTTGTTTGTGCCAGACAGGCTGGTTGGTGTAATTCAGAAACCTCTGATCTCCTAGGATTTTTACACAAAGCAGTCTGCACAGAAAAAAACAAAACACATCCAGTGAGCAGCAGTTCTGTGGGCAGAAATGCCTTTTTTGATGAGACACATCAGAATGGCCAGAGTGGTTCAAGCTGACAGGAGGCTACAGTAACTCAAATAATTTTACAACTGTGGTAAGCAGAAAAGCATCTCATGTTATGAATCAATGCCATCAAGACCTCTGCTTGATCCTAAGTCATACATGACATGTTCTGTAACAACAGGGACTCAGCTGGAGGGCTCAGTGCACAGCAGGGATGCATCGATACCAGATTTTTAAGACAGAGTATGAGTACCGATACTTTCACTGTAGTACTCACTGATACCAGTAGTTTTAGTTACCAGTACAATGAGACAGATGATTTGAAGACACCTTGTTTATTTGACTGTTTATACAACAATTTCACTGTCAACATCAATTGTAGGAAAATCTGTGAACAGTGCAGCTGAGCACTTAAGACTCCATTTTAACTCATTGTTAGCTGTAACGATGTTAAGCAAAAGCTCAAACAATTTCTCAGGAGAACAAAAAAAAAAAAGCAGCTATAATAGCAACAACAACCAAAACCTGAACACAATGGCAAGTATGTGGCAACAGGAATACTGCAACTGCAGGGAAGAATGTTCGTTGCAATTCAGCCAACAAGGACATTCCACAGATGAATTATTTGAAGATAGTGGTCCCTAGAGTGAAACCTAGATGTCTGTGCACTAGGAATCCTTTATATATATATATATATATATATAAAAAAAAAAAAAAAAGGTAAGTGGCAGGTTCTTTTTGGTAAAGAGCAGCATCTCTGCATGCTTGGCTGTAAGCCTTTTTCTTGTTTCATTAATATTGTGTGACAGAGCTGAACAACCCTTTGCTTTCCACACTACTGCATGGAGCCGAACATTTACATCAACACGGAATGGTGCAAGAACTCTGTGCTAGTTTCTACTTACTGCTCATCGCTGGTGGAGTTTGTGACTGTTAGATGTAGACCTTTTTATTTACCACGGGAATTCACCACTGTTCTCATAATCGGTGTATACAACCCCTGTCAAAAATTATGGAATCGCCACACTTAGAGGATGTTCACCCAGCTTTTTTACTTTATAGCAAACAAACAAATCAAAGATATGACACAAAAAAGGTTTTCTTCAATAGCTTAACATTCTGGCTTTGTGAAACATACATCAAAAAAATTCAATGACTTTTTTTTTTTTCTATTAATGGCATGTCATTTTCCAAATCAAGTTGAGGAAAAAATTATGGAATCATCTTTTAATTTCCATTTCTAAAGGAGATGATGCTGGAACTTTTGTCTGGTGCCGTTCTAACGAAACATATGAAGATGACTGCCTGAAGAAAACAATCAAATTTCCCAACTCATTTATGATATGGAGTTGCATGTCAGGTAAAGGACCAGGGGAGGTGGCAGTCAATGCACAGGAGTACATTGAAATTCTGGACACTTTCTTTCCATCCAAAGAAAATACGTTTGGTGGTGATGAAGTAAATTTTCAGGATGACAACGCATCGTGCCACAGAGCAAACAGTGGTAAAGCTTTTCTTCAGGAAAGGCATTTCAAATCAATGACATGGCCAGCAAACAGTCCGGATCTCAATCCAATTGAAAGTTTATAGTGGATATTAAAAAATAAAAAGGTCCATAATAAGGCTCCATCCTGCAAAGCTGATCTGTCAACTGCTATTCGAGAAAGCTGGAACCAGACTGATGGGGATTATTGTTTTTCATTAGTGAAGTCTATGCCTCAAAGAATTCAGGCAGTCATAAAAGCCAGAGGAGGACCAACAAAGTACTAATTGTGTTTTTTTGTTGATGATTCCATACTTTTTTCCTCTACTTGATTTGGAAAATGACATGCCATTAATAAAAAAAATGTCACTGAATTTTTTTGATGCATGTTTCACAAAGCCAGAATGTTAAGCTATTGAACAAAACCTTTTTTGTGTCATATCTGTGATTTGTTTGTTTGCTATAAAGTAAAAACGCTGGGTGAACATCCTCTAAGTGTGGTGATTCCATAATTTTTGCCAAGGGTTGTATATTCCCCCCAGCGCTAATGCTAAGGAGGCGCTCTGTGTACTGTATGGGACTAATAGTGAGCTGCAGAATTCAAACCCTGACGGACTGTTTATTGTTGCCGGAGATTTCAACCATGCAAATCTCAAGTCAGTGCTCCCTAAATTCCATCAGCATGTGGACTTTGCAACAAGAGGGACAGAATGTGCTGGACCTTGTTTACACAAACATCCCCGGCGCGTACTGGGCAGAGCACCGTCCCCACCTCGGCTACTCAGACCACATCTCTGTTATGCTAATCCCAGCATACAGACCGCTAGTCAGACACTCCAAACCGGTTCTGAAGCAGGTGAAAACCTGGCCAGCAGGAGCCATCTCTGCTCTTCAGGACTGTTTTGAACACACTGACTGGCACATGTTCAGGGAAGTGGCAACTGACGGTGACTT